AGAGATTGCTGGATAAATAAATTGTCTCATCTAGTTAAAATGGTTCCACCAGAAGAAATTAATTATCTAACATGATTTCACTACAAAACTTAATCTGATGGTATTTGTGATGAACACGATATTGATTACATTTTGTTTCTGAAGAAGACTGTAACTCTAAATCTTGATCCCAAAGAGGTTAAAAGCTATTGTTATGTTCCAAACAAAGAAACTTCTGGAAAAAAAGCAGCCTGTGATGAAATTAAGATAACTCCATGGTTTAAAATTATTGCAGAGACTTTTCTCTTTAAATGGTAGGATAACAAATCATTTGAATCAGTTTGTTGAGCATAAGAAAATATATAAAATACAAAAGTAGGAATGCACGAAGTCCTTGAAAATTCTTTTGTAATAAACTTAAAATGATGGTTGTGTGTATGTGCGTGGGTGTTTTAATTTGGTTCTTTATTAGGAGAAATCTCATTTGATGCAATGAAACTTTTACAACTAGAATGTGTGTGGAAAGGAAAAGTAACTTAGTTTTGTATCACATACCTACCCATATGCATTGCTATCTGGAAAATAAAACATGAGACAGTATTGTAAAAGAGATAAAGAGAGCAAATAAAACTTATTTTAACCTGTCCAAATTTTTGTTAAAAAAAAAACGTCGGCTGTCAAATTCATTCCAATGCATGGCAATGCCATGTGTCAGGGTAGAGTTGTGTTTCGTATGATTGTCAATGGCTGGTTTCTTCCCAGAAATAGATTGCCAGGTCTTTCTTCTGAGGCATTCTGGGTGGACTCACACTATCGACATTCCAGTTAGCAACTAAACAGATTATTAGCATCACCCAGTGACTCTAATACACTACAGTAGATCAAATATCTAACAGGAAGTACAAAGTGTGAAAAGGAAGTTCAAAAGGTGTGTGTTCATAGCTACAGTGACTAGGAAAGGTTTATAGGAAAGTGCCATATTTGAGATAAGACTTGAAACCATAAAATTAGGATTCTGATAATAGAAGATGAGGGAAAGACACAGTGTCATCAATCTGACTAAAGCACACTGTTCAGTTGTTCATAACCCTTTTCTACCAGATACAGCTTACAAAGGACATAACCCATGCAGTCGGCTGAGCCTACTCCCATGTGCACACCCAAAGCAGAGATAAGATAGGCTGCTTGCCTTGTACAATTCCCAGTAACACCACCTGCCGCTTGTTCAAGAACATGTATCAGAATGCAAGTGAGAACAATTTTGCAAAAGAGATCAGTTTTAATATGCTCTGATTCAGAAATATATCATTTATAGTAAGGAAATTAACCTATCTAGAAAATAGACAAGTTAGTTTTTATTCAGAAATTGACTACAACCCTACAAAGAAAAACATCATGACAGGTTAAAAACCACCAGTGTAATAGGGATTAAGGGTGGAGAACATTGCTCAGCGCTATCCCTGGGTAGTCTTCAGAGCAAATGAAGGCTTTTAAGCCATGGCTCAAGGTGCATTTAGGAAGATTACTCTGGAAGTGTGTGAACGTGGTCACTCCATATGATAAGCAGTGGACTCCGAACCACAAGGTTTGCAGTTCAAACTCACCAGCCGCTCTGTGGAAGAAAGATGAGGCTTTTTGCTCCCGTGAACATTTAAAGCCTCAGAAACCCTACACAAGGTTGCTAAGAGTCAGAACCAACTTGATGGCCCGTAACAACTCTGGAAGTGTAGAGAAAAGGATAGAGCAGTTAGGAAGTTATTGCTAAAGTTCCAGTTAATTAGAGGTGACAGAGGGCAAAATCAAGATGGTACTGGCAGAAGATGATGGGGTTAAGAAATACTGCAAAATTTTTAAAAATAAAGCTTATGATCTGAATTGTCACCTCTGTTTCCCAAGTGGTTTCTAGCTCAACATTTGCTGAAAGACTAAATAACAATTTGGTGGCAAGGCAAGTATATTCTAGATCACAGGTTTGAGCCAGACTGTTGTTGTTGCTAAATGCCGGCGCGTCTATTCCGACCCATCGAGACCCTGTATAGAGTTTCCAAGGAGCAGCTGGTGAGCATGAACCACCAAGCCTGACTACTTGTTTTCAAATCTGGGTCTTCCACTCACTCTGACTTTGGACAAGTTACATGACCTCTCTATGCCTCTGTTTACCCATCTAAAAACAGGGCTCTTAGTGTCTAGATCACAGGTAGTTTTGAGGATTAACTAAATTAATATATAAAGTTCTCAGAAGCTGCCTGACATATATATGGGCTATATAAATGTAGCTATTATTTTTATTAGTGAAGCACTTAAGATTTAACAGAACTCCCAAAATGAGAAAAATAGTTGTGGGGGAAGGGTAATCATTAGTACAGAGAGTTTGCAGTTTGGTGTCCCAGAGATGACAGATAGTGGGATTAGGGTTTAGGAAATAAATTGGGGGTAGAGATCTAACCCCTGCCACTTCTTTCTGCTCTCCACGTGCTTCCAACTCCTAACAAGCTCTAGTCACACTAGCCTCTTGCAGGTTCTTCTTGCCTCAGGACCACCCCACTGTTGGACCAACGCAGCCTGGACTCAACAGATGTGGGTTTAATTATTCAGTGAATTTGGGGTCCTTCTACCTAGAGTCCAAGGAGCTCTGGTAGCATAATGCTTATGAGTCGGGCTGTTAACTTCAACGACAGCAGTGTGAAACTACCAGCAGTTCAGTGGGAGAAAGATGAGGCTTTCTGCTGCCGTAAAAGGTTTACAGCCTCGAAACTCTATCGTGGTGTGGTTCTCTGTGGGTTGATGCTCTGGACTGCAACGTCAGTTTGATCCGCAAGGTCGGTGGTTCAAACTCACCAACCCCTCCTCGGAAACCCTATACAGGGTCGTTATGAGTCGGAACCGACTCTACGGCACTAAACAACAACAACGACTACTACGTGGAGTCCTGGTGTGCGCTGTGGGATAATGCACTGAACTGCAAGGTCGGTTTGAACCACAAGGTCGGTGGTTCAAACTCACCAGCCGCTCCTCTGAAACTTTATACAAGGTCGCTATGAGTCGGAACCGACTCGAAGGCACATTCCGAGAAGGATGCCCGCGTGGGCTGGGCTGCCAACGGAAAGGTTTATCCACCAGGCACTGGGTGGGGAGAAAGATGTGGCTGTCGGGTTAGGTAAATAGCGTTGGAAATCCAGTGGGGTAGTTCTCTGTCCTATGAGTCAGAATCGACTCGTCAGCGATGGGTTATTTTTCAGAGAGATATCCAGGATTGTTGGAGAGATGTTGTAAAGAGATGGGTAACACTATGAGTCAGAATCAACTCCACGGCAGTGGTTTGGTTTTTCAGATTTTCAGGTAACATTGAAGGCTCATAGGATCCTGAAAAGAGTCACTGTATTTGACAATCACATTAGGAAAGAACTATGAGAAAGTAATTTTTCATGCGCGGGGGTGGGGAGTGAAAGAGGAGCAGAGAAAAGTAGGCAAGGAAAAGAAGTTAACTAACATAGACTGTTCTTGCCAAAACGTTTGCTATGGAAGAGAAGCAGGAAAGGCGATTTTAGGGAGAAACCGTTTTTAAGGTTTCTCTGGTCAAGAGGATGAGTAAAGAAGCAGGGGGCGATGCGAACAGCTAAGGTATGAACTCAGCTAATGAAAAAGCATCAGGCTACATCCTGGCATGCTGTGCCTCCCTAGTGCACGCTCCGGGACGCCCAAGGTGCTTTTCTCCCGCACATTATCTGATCGTCCCAACTCCCTGAGGAAGGCTCTCTACTTCAGGGGTTCTGGACAGTGTAACCCCTAATGAGAAGCTGCAGCATCACCAGGAATCTGTCCTAAATGCTCATTCGTGAGCCTCACATCAGACCTACAGAATCCGAAACTCTGCGGTGAGGATGCTGATGCTCCCTGCAACAGGACACTCAGGAGGGAGCCCACCACCGCAAGCAGCCGTCCGACAGGATTTCCTCCCGACATCGGCCTGCAGTGCACGACCTCACCCAGCCAGCACCGCAGAGCAGCGTCGCCCAGTTCCGCCGGAGTGGAGGCGAGGTGTGGCTTCCTTTACTAAAGCAAGACTCCAGGAGCCCAAAGGCCCGGGAGCCACGCACAGACAGCAACCAGAATCCGCCCGAGCGCCCCCTGCCCTCCGGCGGCGACTTCCGGCGCCCAAAGGAGTGATTCGGGGCGGGGGCGCTCGGGGTGAACGTGGCCAACTTCCTCGAGACCCGGGGGAAAGGGGCACTTTGTTCTTCCATTCTCTCCATGTGCTAGCTAACAAAAAGGCCACATGACGAGGCAATGGAAGGAAGACATGCCGGTTTAGAATAAGCGTCTGAAAAACCTAGAACCAACTAGAGCAACTTTGAAAATCCTCTTCCCCGCCTTTTCCTATTATCCCACCCCACAAGTCCAATGGAATGGAAAAGCAGAGGCTGAAAAGATCAGGGAGGGGCCGGGAGAGGGAGCCTGGGGGCCAAGGGAAGAAATCTCGCGATAGGAGACCGGTCGGAGCGGGGGTGGCACCTTTCCTCCTCCTCCTCGCGTTAGTTCCGGTCGCAGAGGAGACACAGCCGCAGTTGCCGCCACATCGAGGGTTTCTGGCTCTTTTCTCTCCGCCTTAAATTCGGTGAGTCGCGCTACCCGTTTGTCTTGGGTTGAGGTTGTGGCCCTCGTCGCGGGGCAGAGGGCGAAGGCGGCAGTGGGCCCGAGCACGGAGGCCCTCTGCATGAGGTCGGGCCAGATAAGGGGGTCTGGGCTCGAGGGCAGGGGCCGCCGCTTCAGCGGGGAGGTCGAGGGGCGGCGGGGACCCGGGTCAGGATGTGGAAGCTGGGTGCGCGCCGCAGCGCCAGAGCGAGAGCAGAGGCAGTGGCCGAGGCGGGTCCCCTCCGGGCCGTGCCCGGCCTGGGTAACAAAGCCGCGGAGGCCTCTGTTGGGTGATGTACGCGTGGGGGGTTGCGGGCGGGCGGGCGGGGCGGAGGAGCCGCCACCACCACTGCCGCCGCCACCGCCGCCGCTGCTTCGCTGGAGGGCGGATGTACGGGGCGGCAGGGCCCCCGGCGCGAAGCGCCTCGGCTCCTGTGATCCGCTCTTTGCGGCGGCTACCACCGCCGACTACGGGGTCAGTGGAGAGGGGGCTGCGGGCGAGGCGGAGCCACTACGGTGCCCCGCTATGGCCAAGGGCGCCGCGGCGGGGCGGGCTGTCTCGAGCTCAGTTCATGGGAAGGGTGTGGACAGGGAGAGACACGTGCCCGGGGTGGTGGAGGCTTGGATCGGAGGGAGTGGGCTAAAAGGTTCGGCCCGTCTCACCTCTGAGGCCCCAGGCACGGCTTTAGGGAAGGGTGATCCTGCTTCCCCAGGCCTCTCCGAAGGAGGAATTTACCTTCGGACAGTGCTTAAGATTGACGTTTTGCATACCTCCACCTGGTGTGGTGCTCTGGAATAGATGATGTATGTGAACTTAAAGAACGAGGAAGAAACTAGATGGTCCTATTTAGAATGAGTAAATAGCCACCACTCGCCGTGGCCTGGTAAAGTCATTTAGGGTGTATTTCACAGCACATTTTTAAAGGGTGCTGTGTAGGGAGAAATGCAGAGTTTTGAAGTTATTTTCATTCAAGCGAAGGTAACTATCTGTGTGCTATAGTGAAACTGTCTGTAGACGGTTGAGGTATTTTATTTTGAAAATCAATATTATGTCACTGATGTATAATAAAAGGCCATATTTCTTTCTTCTAGGGTGTCTTTTATGAATAATCAAAAGCAGCAAAAGCCAACGCTATCAGGCCAGCGTTTTAAAACTAGAAAAAGAGGTAAATGTGTATGTTTTGATCATCTCTCATTGAACCTCTAGAATATTTTGCATGTCTTGATTCCTCTAGCAGGCAATTGTTTACTGAAACCTTGAGATAAAAAAGCAGGAAGGAACTTAAATTGCTACTTGATTGCCAATTCCTTTAGGTACACCTTTAATATTTCTAGGGCTTTCCCAAGCTGCCTTTACTTTTGAAACAACATATTTCTGAGCAGGTAAAGTACTGGCTGTGTTTTCCATAGCAAGCATTTAGCTTAAGCAAAAAGATTCATTCATAAAAGGATTCCTACTGTCATCACTGATTTCACCCAAATTTTGTGTGGATTTGTGAGAGAAAAGTCAGGCTTTAATTTGGACACCTAATTATGGAAAAGAGTTCCTGATAAACAGTAGTGTCTTCAAGTTAACTGTTTGCATCACAGTCTTAACAGACATAGTATTAGATTGAACTTTATATTAGTAGATACTCAAGTGAACACAAGTAGTCCTGTACTTACCAGAGTGTTCTGCTCCGAGGACTCCATCATCAGTCAATTCTTTTTTGCTTCATATTACTGTCTTTTACCAGTGTATTTATAAATCTGATCTTATGAACATCTCAGAGTAAACATCTGAGAATGGTAACATCAAGATTCACTGCAACATTGTATGTAGTGCATGTTACAGTGAGATGTACAAACCAAAAAACCAGATGCCTTAAGTAACCATTCAGTTAGTGTTAACTTGTTGATGTTAAGTACCATCAAGTGATTCTGACTCATAGAGACCCTGTGTAGAATTTCCAAGGAGAGACTGGTGAGTTTGAAACAAAGTAAATCCAGGACTCCCTATATTGAATTCTGTACAGTCACTGCACAAATGATGTAAAGCTAAATGGAAGTAGTATCATATACATTGTATTAAGCTTAGTGTTTTCTCCAAACACATTTCAATTTTATTTGCTGAAAAAAGCACATATTAGTAACCTTATTTTATAGGATATTTGAAGAAGTAGAAAACTGCGTCAGTTGCTGCTCATAAATTAATGTTACTTTTTTTGTACGTTAAGTGGCAAACTTTGAGGTATATATTAAAGACTTTTGCGATTTTGACCACGATTCCTTGTAGAGGTGATGGGGAGACCAAAGTGATCACCAAAGTAATAGGATTGCCAGAATGAATCAAGTCTACTCAGATTGATTTACACAGCTAGTTTTTTTTGTTTGTTTGTTTGTTTTTTAAGGTTGCAGAAGTTATAAAAACAGCAATATTATTGTTCCCATCAGGGAGTGATGTCACTTCCCAGTTCCAGATAGAGCTCACTCATACTCTCCTAGCTATTTGGTGATTAGACTTGTGAGTAGGATTATCAGCCATCTTCATTTCCATGAGACCCGAGACACAGAACTTCTAATGCTAAAACCCGAAGAGTTGATAACAACCTTGTTAAGTGCCGGGGAGTCGGGTCCGACCCATAGCAACCTTGTATACAGTTTCCAGGGAGCAGCTGGTGAGCTTGAACAGCCGTCCTTGCAGTTCAAATGGCTTTGCAGTCTTATTTTACAGTAGGAAATTGAGGCATGGTAAGACTAGTTGCTCAAATTCAGAAAGTTGGTAAGAGGTGATCAGAATTTCAATCAAGTAGCTAAAAGAGTTAAAACTAAGCACCTAGTATATATAAGTTGTCATATATTGGATGTTCAATAAAAATTACCTTAATAATTAATTAATGAGTGGTATAAAAGAAGGTACTCCAAATATTCAAAAGAACTAAGAGATTCGGTGTTAAAAATTGTCAGAGGCCACCTCATGACCTTCATGTTTAACTTATGAGACTTGTTTGAAAAGATAGTAGAAAAAATGACTGCAATAATTCTTATGGCTGGACCTTCCTGCCCTGTATTGTATAGGGGGCAAACCTGGCATAAAGTATATATTTAGGCTCCTGTTTTGTTTGTATTTCATACAGGTCTTGGGTGATCCTGCTAGTGTTTGTTCTGTTCCTAGCAATTAAGTGCAATTGTAAATATGGTTGCAGCTTTGTAAGGGTCTAGTCTTCTAACATTTCAGTAAACCTTTTAAAACTAAACGTTTGGGTTTTCCTCCTTTTCAGATGAAAAAGAGAGGTTTGACCCTACTCAGTTTCAAGACTGTATTATTCAAGGCTTAACTGAAACTGGTACTGATTTAGAAGCAGTAGCTAAGTTTCTTGATGCTTCTGGAGCAAAACTTGACTACCGCCGATATGCAGAAACACTCTTTGACATTCTGGTGGCTGGTGGAATGCTGGGTAAGTGTAATTTAAGGAAGTGTGATGTATGGGAGAATCATAAATTTGAACAATTTGACAAACCTATCAAAATAGGAATTGGAGTTTTGCATTCTTTTTATTCCCTTAGACTTTCTCCATTTTCACTCCTTCTAAATCATAGTTGACAGAATGCCTTGCTCTGTCTTAGTCTAGAACCAAAATCTTTGGGGGCAGCAAGAATAGTGATGCATCCCTGCTCAGTGATTTGCTTTTTAGTTTTTCCAAATCTGTGTGTGAACATTGCCAATTACAGTAGCCACTAGTCACATGTGGCAGTTGAGTATTTGGAATATGGCTAGTCCAAAATGAGAGTACTGTAAATTTAAAACATACATTTGTTTTTACATGCCATTGCATTGGTTCTGACTGTTGATGACTGTATAGAGTTTCCAAGGAGTGACTGGTAGAGTTGAACCTCTGATCTTGTGATTAGCAATCCAGTACTTACCCTACAGTGCCACACTGGGAGTCCTAAAATATACTTTTGTTGTTGTTGTTGTTGTTGTTGTTGTTGTTATGTGCCGTGAAGTCGGTTCTGACTCATAGCAACCCTGTACAGGGTTTCCAAGGCTGTAAATCTTTACGGGAGCAGAAAGCCTCATCTTTCTCCCGCA